AAGCGTTCGGGGAGGGGGGACAGGACATCATTCAGCACTAAAATTAGGAATTTTGATGCCCAGGGCCAGCTCTGACTTCGTCGCCCCCCCCCCCTCATACACAACCATAAATTCATTCTGGTAGTTGAGCACCCTAAGAGTATGCTTTTAGCCCCAGCTTAGTTTCGTCCTATTAAACACATGGGAGAGAAAAAAATCTCTGGAAAATATATGGACCAACAAAGGATGTGCATGGATGTAGAATACGAACCAACTAGGAATTGTACAGTCTATGTCAGAATACCGCGCCAGTAGCAGAAATCGAAAAAGGTTATAGGCTACGCTGGACATAAGGACACTTGGAAAGAATGCCAAATGACAGAGACGTGAAGAGGGTAAATCACCAAAAGTTGTGTCTAAAAAGTAATGTTGTTTTACTATTTTATTTTTAAACTATTAATTTATTTAAAGGAATTAATCAAAGAATTAATATAAATAACAATATTTAAAATTGTATTCAAAACTGTTAATCGTTGATATAAAAGAAACCATACAAGATATATTAGTATTAAGTATAATAATTATCAATTTCGATTTAATTAAAAGAACTTATGTAGGTTTTCCCAAAATTTACTGTTACAACAAAAAAAAACCGAAAAAAACATTGTTGAAAAGGTCTATAGATTTACAAGAGACGTCACAAATTTAATTAATATTATCAGTGGCGTAGCTAGGGGACGGGGATCCAAATTCGAAAGTCCCCCCGGGCCCCTACTTGAGGGGGGCCCCAAAGGCGTGTCCGAGAATTTGTCAAAATGCAGGGGCCCTTAAAGAGGCCAAGCCCCCCCCCCGGGCCCATAAATCCCCCCGGACCCCCAAATCCCTAGCTACGCCACTGAATATTATGTTATTTATCTGAGGTAAATTCAGACAGTGTGAATTTACAAACAAGTGAAGTACCCTAAAAAGTTAAATCGGAATTTCTAGCTACTATAACTTTATTCATCATTTTAATTACTAAATAATGAAGGTTTGATTCCTTTTTTAAGACTCTTTTATTTACTCCTCACCAACCCCACCAAAAAAATAATTAATGTATATTTTTTAAATTGATACTTTATCAAAAGAATTTTTTTCTAAAGCTAGTACCATTAAAATTAAATCGATGTGTGAATAGAAAAATCTCTTTTTTTTTAAAAAAACACTGGAGAAAATGTCTTGCCGCTTTCATTTTGAAAGCAAAATAAATTTTTCAAAAATATTTCAATATTCACTAATAATACTGGCAGCAAAATGCCGTTAGAAGCGTGAGGCACCCTGGAGGCGTGAGGTTATCTAGAGGCGGGAAGCCACCTACAAGCACAAGACCCCCTCGAGCATGAGGCCATCTAGAGGCGGGAAGCCACCTACAAGCACAAGACCCCCTCGAGCATGAGGCCATCTAGAGGCGGGAAGCCACCTACAAGCACAAGACCCCCTCGAGCATGAGGCCATCTAGAGGCGTGAAGCCCTGGTCAAGTGCCCAGTTGTTTTTTTTTGAGTGTGCCCGCACCCATGCCATAAGTATAAGACGGCACCGTGCAGTGTCTGCACTCAATATACGTTATGTACACTATGTGCGAAATGAGATGGGGAAAACTTTGGAGAAACATCGACCCAAGAAGGCCACATACTGTATTTTAGTGGACGGGAGGACGCACGCGAACAAGGAGTTGGCTTCCTCGTCCATAAAAACATTAAGAACAGTATTATGAGCTGTCGACCAGTTTCGAGCCGGCTCATCAATCTTCGTCTAAGGGGGCAACACCGTTCAACATCACCATCGTACAGGCGTATGCACCAACTTCAGATTATGATGACGAAGAAGTGGATGACTTCTACCATCAACTCCAGGAAGTGCTGAACCAAACCCCCAAGAAAGACGTTCTTGTCATTCAAGGTGATTGGAATGCCAAAATATGAGAAGATGCCTTTGCAAACTGGAAAGGAATGTGTGGGCGCCACTGTAACTGTAACACAACCTCAAACGAGAGAGTTCTGAGGCTCTTGGAATTCGCCTGCTTCAACGAACTCATACTGACCAACACACTGGGTGCACATAAAAAATCCAGTAAATCCACATGGGATGGTCCAAATGGGAAACACTACAATCAGATTGACTACATCATGTTGCAACCACGCTTTCGATCTAGTATAAACATTGCACAGACTCGCAGCTTCACAGGAGCTGACATTGGAAGTGACCACGATCTAGTCATTATGACCTTTTGCTGCACTTAAAGATGGTAAATAAACATGGATATACCAGAATCAAATTCGACATTGAAAAGCTGAAGGATCCTAAAGTAGCAGAAGCCTTCCAAGCAATGATAGGGGGAACATTTGCAGCGCTTAAGATTATAGGTGTCGACTGTTCAGACATGGACACACTGATTGATAACTTCAACACAGCTGTGACGGACACAGCTCATGACATCCTTGGTACACATCGACCAACCCAATAACCATGGGTGACAGCTGACATCCTCTATCTGTGTGATAAATAGAGGCAGTGAAAGAAAACAAATATGGTAGATATGGAGGGGGGGCAATAAATATAGGACAGTTAACCAAGCAACAACAAAAAAAGGTATGAGAAGGGCAAAGAAGAACTGGATTGAAGAGCAATGCTACGACATTGAAAACTGTTTAAAGAAAAACAATAGCAAAAAGGTATACCAGTTGGTGAAAGAACTAAGCACTGCAAAGCAAAGGCGAAGTACTACCATACAAGACAAAAATGGTAAATGTTTGACTGAGGAAAATGTTATCGTAAAAAGAAGGACTGAATACTGCTCAGAACTGTATAATGAAAATATACATATAGACCCAGAGATCCTTAATTTCCAGCAACGGACAATGAAAACTACCCTATTCTCCGCATTGAAGTGGAAGCAGGAGTCCAAGCACTCCAAATAGGGAAGGCTGCAGGAGTGGATAATATCCCTTGCGAGTTAATGAAACAAGAAGGAGAAGCAATGATAAGTACCCTATTCAATATTTGTAGCAAAATGTGGCTGACAGGGGAATGGCCCAAATCATGGCTCCAATCGCTCATCATCACCCTCCCCAAGAAAGGTAACCTACAACTATGCCAAAACTATAGCACCATTAGCCTAATAAGCCACCCAAGCAAGGTCATGCTAAAGGTCACAGTGAACAAACTAAAACCATATGCCGACACAATCATTGCTGAAGAACATGCGGACTTCAGGCAAGGACGTGGCACTACTGAGCAGATCCTAAACATCCGAATACTATGTGAGAAGTATGCTTAACACCAACAAAACCTATACCACGTCTTTGTGGACTTCAAGAAGGCCTTCAACAGGGTTTGGCATGCTGTTTTATGGGCCATCACAGAGGCGTAGCGTGGTGGGGGCAGGGGCGGGACAGATGTCCCCGGGCGCCAGCTAGTTAGGGGCGCCAAAATGTGCTTTGATATTATTTTATTGATGAAAATAATGGGTTTGAGAGTTGAAAAAAAAGAAAAAGGGGTGCTTTAAAATGGATCTTGTCCCCGGGCGCGAATCTTGTCCCCGGGCGCGAAACACCCTCGCTACGCCTCTAGGCCATCATGAGGCACTACAACATCAACACAAACCTAACAAGAATGATGCAGCCTCTATGATAAGGTCCCCAGTGCAGTCTTCTTCAACAATAACATCGGAGAATGGTTCAAGACCACGATTGGAGTACCACAAGGCTGCTTGCTTTCCCCCACCATGCTCAACATCTTTTTGGAGAGAATTATCTGAATGCACTGGAAGCGTAAGTAGGGACAGTCAGCATTGGTGGCAGAATAATCACAAACTTACGTTTTGCAGATGACATAGATAGACTGCCTGGAAACGAAGAAAGCTAGCCAACCTAATAAAGCATCTCGACAATTATTTATCACCCTTTGGCATGCAAATCAGTGCAGGAAAGACAAAATTGATTACGAATAAAACCACCGGCATCTCCACTGCAATTAAGGTCGGGGAGGAAAGATTAGAGACAGTAGGCAGCTTCAAGTACCTAGGAGCAATAGTCTCGGAAGAAGGCTCCAAGCCCGAATAGATGTCCAGGATTTCCCAGACCACAACAGAACAAACGAGGCTCAATAAAATATGGAATAACAAAAATACAGGCCCCCAGCACCAAAATCAGGCCGTTGCGCTCATTAGTCCTCTCTAATTTCTTGTATACCTGTGAGACCGGGAACTTGAAAGAAAAATAAAGGCGATGGAGATGAGATGTTTCAGAAGCATTATCGGAATCTGCTATAGAGGTCATATCTCTAAAGAACAAATGAAAGAAAAGATTCGTCAAGCGGTATAATGACATCCTGGTGACTGTAAAAAGGAGCAAACTGGAATGGCGTGGCCACGTCACAAGAGAACAAGGGCTCTTCAAAGAAATCATGCAGGGCACAACGAGAGGAGGGGAAATAATAGGAAGACAGAGAAAAAAAATGGGAAGATAACATCAAAGAGTGGACGGGACTAAAACTAGGCGATGATGTGCGAAGTGCAGAAAACAGAGAGGAACGGAGGATAGTTTTCATGTCATCTGTGACGCCCCACCCAACGGTCTACGTCTAAGGACTCAGCGACTTGATGGTATGTATACTATAATATTGAATATTTCGTATAATCGTATAAGTATACTACTACTACCGTATACAGTATTTCCTTGCGGAGTGCATCTAAATAAATTTAAAATTAGTTTCTAATATTTAGTGTGTTTTATCCTATCTTTGATAAGAAGACTTTTTTTAGTATTCAAAAACTATTTTTATTACACTTATTAAACTGAAGGTATAAATACAATAAACTACGTCTATTTTATAGCGAGTCCACCTAACAACATATTATGTTTACTCAAGGGAACTCCCGCACAGACCAGTTTTACTGACATTCAATTGGTTAGTGCCAACTTCCTCTTGGAATTATTTATAGTTATTCATTGGCTTATACCTTTACAGGAAGCACGTGATCAAAACGTCATAAGGAATCCCTTAAATTGCGTGAGGGGAAATCGGCACTCAGAACCTGTCTTGATTCTCTATCTTATTTCCAATGTTTAATGATTCAACAAATAGCCCCCGGTATAAAAAATGGCTGGTGTATTTGACTTAGAACTCGCTGAAGATAACGGACTAGCCGAGGAACTATCGGACGATGAATACTTTGAAACTGATGATATCAGTGGGCGCCAACAGGTTAGTCTGTCGAAACAGAATTGACGTGTAGTGTGTGGGTTCGGAAGTAGCATAGTGCACAGCATAAGGGTTGTCGGGCAGCTTTTGTAACTCCATTGTGGACCAAGTCATTATTTCACACCTTTTAATTTCCTTCCATCACTATTAATTATACAATTTTTAGATCTTACAATTACCGAAAAAAAAATCAAAGTATTCTTTCGTTCTGTTTGTTTTTGTCCCTGGCCTTGTGACTAAGTGAGTGACTCAGTGCCTGAAAAAAATGTTTTTATGCTAAGGCTAAGTTATGAAATTATTGAAATAGCCACTGTACGTCTGAACTCATAATGGTCTGAGTTAGTCCATAGTCATACTCATATCCATATGTGTAGGAAAGCCATGAAATAGGCATATGACCTACTGATCATAGACCTAATTTGAATATTAATTAGGCACACTACTAATATTAAATAATAAGGCCCCAATTAATCCCATGTAGAATTTTAAATTGAATTGTATTTAAATTTAAATTTATTTATAGTAAATTGCCAGATAGTCCCCCCAATTTATTTTTAGGTCACTTGGTATCAGGTTGTAGTTGTAGGCATCATCATTTTAATAATTTTTGAATCATAATGAATAATTGAATAATGATCATAATCATATATTTGGTAAATGTCTATTCGGCATGCAACTCATTTATCACAACAGCCATTTGATTGCCATGATGGCAAATGTGTTGTGGCAACCAAGCTGGCGGCAGTGTAGAAGAAAAAGTAGTTAAAAATGGGTAGGAGAAAAAGGGAGAATATACTATTTTATCTACCTACCAAGAGAAATGAAAGTTAGAAACAAAACATTAAAATGACATGAAATAATTTTTTTTGAGAAATACTAAAATCTACCTATCTGCCCCCCTAAATTTAGTACCCCCTAACTTTATACTTAAGTGTAAAGTGTAAATGAAATGTAACCCTAAATTAAGCTCATTCTAATATGCCGGAAAAAAATTAGCCTTCTTTTATCTTATAACCACTTCATTACCACAGGGTTTTGGGCATTGATTTTTGCTGACTCAGCAACAAAAAACTTACAAGATTAAATTTTTCGTATATTTCATTCTCCATCTGATTCGCTTTTTAACTTCTCTATAGATTAACGAATAAGGAAACATATAGCATTGAAATTTGACGTCGATGTGACGTCCTTGGTATTTCAGAAAAGTTCTTACATTTTTTTATGATGACAATGTGACGTCCTTGATAATTGAAAGTGGATGATCGTGACGTCGCATCGGTGTCATCGATAATGAAGTGGTTAAACATTATAATTATAATTAAACACACAATGAAATATTCATTTAAAACATTCCACCAGCTTATAAATATTTATAAAAAGAGTTATAACATACTCTTTCTTTTATACGACTTTTAGTTTTTAACATTTTATATGGAATATATTTATAAGCTTATGAAGCTAAACATTGATAGATCTTTTTGGATAACAGTTTGCATAGCTCAGAGAATGCTTCTGTGTTTAGCAAATGGAAGCTCACTCCCCAAACATGATAGATGGCAAGGCATGGAGTAAATGCTTAAAATTACAGTGTACCATGTAATCCAAATTCACCATATTGGCCATATCTATAATAAGCCTATCATAGGTTATTATTTGGCCTTGGGACAACTGTGATAATATGTCTGCAATTTATTATTTTATTCTTACAGGAATATGGAGGGGATGGATTGCCAAAGTAAGTATCCTCTAATTTTTAATATGTCCAAATTAATTGTAGTTGACATACTATACTTAATATACTCATCTATATGCCTATTGGCCTGACTAGCTGTTTTATTAACTAAATAGGGCTGTAAGTGTAACCAGCGTAGGCATTAGCCCTTCCCAAGATTATGTGTCGCTGAATTAATTCCTAGTAGTTGCTAGCATTAGGCTTAGTCATTCTGAATTAAAAATTGAGTCAAATAGCCCTTTAAAATTAATCCTTTTGTCTCCTTAGCTTAATTTTTTTGCCTTAAAAATCGATGAGTACAACTGTAAGGTTTGTTTGTTTTACAAGTGAGGAAATCATGGAAACTCTCGAGCTGTCAGCTCAAACAGTGAATCCAAGTAATGTTCGCAAGATTGGCAGAGAAAGCTTTGAGATTGTTAGTCTCCTTGGAAAAGGTGGATATGGCAAGGTGGGACTTTTAACTGAATTAAACTTTGTTTTTAATTCCTTATAAAAACCATAAATTGATAAATCAAAAGTGAAATCTTCTTATCCATAACATAGCTTTTTTTTTTTTTTTTTTACTTTTTTACCAATCTGCCTGCTCTAAATTGTCATTTTCTTTTTGCTATAATTCGTAGAGAGAGAGAAAGAGAAAAAAATCATTTATGCAGTGTATCGTTGATGTTTTAAAAATTATTTTAGGTCCTGTTGGCAGAGATGCTTGATGAAAACAGGAAGAAGTATGACCCTCCGCGACTTTATGCAATGAAAGTCTTGAAGAAGGTATTACTTAACAAATCTTATCAGTCTACACAACTTACCCAAAGCATTCCAAAATATTTTCTAATCTCACATTTTTTATTTATTTTTGTGTTCATTTTTTTAATATGCAGAGATAGGCATCTTAATTTTATGTCGTTGTTTTATTCCTAATACGTTAAGGGATATTGTAATTTAAAGTATTGTCGTATGTCTATACTGCATCATGTATCTTAATTGTCATATGTTATCCCTTCTTGCCAATTTGTTCATACTCTTTATTCAGGCTACCATTGCAAGAAATCAAAAAGACACAGCTCACACTCGTGCTGAACGTAACATCTTAGAGGCCGTGAAGGTGAGTTGGACTGCTGTCACATATAATATTACATAGACAAGGGAGATTTACTCATGATTTTAAAACTATAATACCATATTGAAAATAAATTTATTACTTAACAAGAGGAACGTTTCACCGAGTAGTGCCCATTATGATATTACTTTCAGTGCCAAGCAATGAGAAATAACCCCCATTTCAACCATAAATTGCTGACTTTAACATTTTTATTCAAAACCAACCTTCCATCCAGTCATAAAAACATTTGACTGGTAATGGTAGAGAAAAGATGAAATTTAAATAACAATCTGTCAACATTATCACCGGTTGCACCTAAAGTTCTTCAATGTCCAGTAATTTCTTTTGATTAGGCCCGTCAACTTTGTCTACAACTTCTGACCCATCTGGTATATCATAATGTTGAAATAAGTAAATTTCAAAATCATCGTCGACCGCTAACAGCCGACAAAATTTTGAAATAAGTCAATTTCAAAATCATTGTTGACCATTAACAGCTGACATGCTTGCAGTTTTGAAGCAATCTAGAAGGGAAAACATTAGATCTACTGTCAACAAATCACTATAAACTCATAATTAGCGTAACATCAAGCGCACAGCCACCAAATCCCAACAAAACAAGAACTTGACACTTCCTATTTTTAAATAGGCTCTTTAATAAGCTGTCAACAAATCACTATAAACTCATAATTAGCGTAACATCAAGCGCACAGCCACCAAATCCCAACAAAACAAGAACTTGACACTTCCTATTTTTAAATAGGCTCTTTAACTCATTCCCGACGGTTGCGACTAAATGCGTCCTCGGGGGATTCCTACTGATGCGTCCCGGCGCATAGCGACACACCTCTCTTATTTTTAGTTACAAATAGCAATGAAATCTCGCACCCCTCGAGACTTCCGGCTGTGGCGTGATTTCTGCGTGATTTTAATTTAGAAACCGGAAGTTTTTATCTTGTTTCACTTTAAAACTACGTGTGCTTTAGTACGGCGCGTCTATATGTACCACGTGTTCGTCCGAGGTGCCGAAAATCGATTTTTTTGGCCATTGTTCGTTATTTTTCCCCCGCTAATGTTATATTTATATTAAACCTTATTCATTTTTTGTTGCATTTGTTCTTAATTCATTAACATTAAATAATATTTAGCAACTTAAAAAAATATTTTAAAAATATAAATCAATTTCAAAACTGAGTTGCTTCCCTTTTCTCAGGAAAATAAAATAAGTCCGGAAGCAGCGCTGCCGGAGGGAATGAGTTAATAAGCTGTATTTTCAGAGTGTGTTTGAAATTTCTGACGTACATAATTAATTGTGTAAATATCTTTTTCCTTTGCCCACGATGTTTATTAAATGCATATTTTTTTGTGTGTATGGTCCACAGCATCCATTCATTGTAGATCTGCATTATGCTTTCCAGACGGATGGAAAGCTGTATCTAATTTTGGAATACCTCCCTGGAGGAGAGCTCTTTACACATTTGGAGAGGGAGGGAATTTTCATGGAGGATATGGCCAGGTATTAGCATGGTTACAGCCACAAATAGATTCAAAACAATTTTTGAATGGGGGATCAAGAGAACTGAAAAGACCCTAAAACATCATGGTGTAAACAAGAAAAAAAAATGGATAAAAGATTGACATGACTGGGAAGACCCTAAAACATCACAGTGTAGAGAGCTAGACAGGGTTATGTTTTTAAAAAAAAAGTGTTGGATAAGTTAGCAAGAGGCTTGGAAAGATATCGTTAATGGTCTGTGGTAGGTGAAAAGGCAAAGAAGAAGTAAGTGGCCCTGTTATGCTAAGGTTGTGTCTCTTTCTCATAACCAAGTGGTATTTGGTTCAAATTTGTCCAGCATTGTCCCCACCTAATGTGTACAATGATGATGAACAGTAAACACTGAACAGCCCCAAACACTATACTCTGACCTGACTCAACAGCCCAACTAGACAGCTGCTCTTGTGGAGGTGGGAAACCATGAGTTTAATATAAACAAAAACCTTAACCACTAAACATATAAACTAAACTGGTTAGGGACTAAAAAAAAAGTTTAGGAAAAATGTGGGTCTGCTTTATTCCCAAAACACAGGAAGTTAGCTGTTAAAAATAACAATGTTCAAATTAACCTTACCATGTATGATTGCACAAATGTAATTGTAATTCTGTGGTGTTTAATGTTATTTTTTTATGGGTTTTGATTGGTTTGATATTAAGAAAATCATTTTTCTTTTTAATTGTTTAGTAAAATTATTGTCATTAGGCAACGTGTTTGTGTCATTTCAAATGTTATGTTATTCTCAGCTTCTATCTTGGAGAAATCTTGCTTGCCATTGAACATCTTCATTCCTTGGGAGTAATCTACAGAGATCTGAAACCAGAAAATGTTCTGTTGGATTCTAAAGGTAATACCTGGGGTTTTTTTGGTTTTTTAAAAAATACTTTTTTAAGAAATTGGTATTTACTGGCCCATCCGTTGTTGTCCTGTTTTCATAACTGATGGCTTGGCTTCAGCCATCATTAATACATTGTTTTCAAACGACAATCGATATGTTCCAGGCCACATAAAGCTGACAGATTTTGGTTTGTGCAAGGAGAGTATCTCACTTGGGGACATAACTCATACATTCTGTGGGACCATAGAGTATATGTAAGTATCATTTGTTACTCATCTTTTCCCCTCCATCTTTGTGTTTACATATCTCAAACACTTCAAATACAGGATGGTGGTAATGTTGAAAATATCACTGTACAACACTTTTTTAAAAAAATTGGGGGGGGGGGGGGCTTTAACCAACGAACGTGGGTCTTCCAAAAAATCAGCCGACATTCTCTTTCTGGTCTGTAGCGGCCCAAAAAAACGGCTGATAAAAAATATGTCCGAAAAACACTTCAAAACCAATAATGTTGAAAATATCACTGTACAACACTTTTTTAAAAAAATTGGGGGGGGGGGGGGCTTTAACCAACGAACTGTGGTCTGCGAAAAAATCAGCCGACATTCTCGTTCTGTACTGTAGCGGCCCAAAAAATCGGCTGATAAAAAATAGGTCCGATAGACACTTCCAAACCAATATTTAACCGGAATTATAGCCACTTCCTTTTATTAATAATTAAATCATCTTCCGGTTCAAGCTGTTTCTTGATAATTTAAAAATAATTACTTTTTAATCAGAGTTTTATATTGCTATTTTTTTTTAAAGCTAAAATGGTTGAAGCTATTGCTGGGCCTTCCGTGCAAGAACTAATAGAAATATATTTGAAAGCTTTTTAGGAGAGGTTTTAAGTGATATTGATGATGATTTTAACATTCCTCATGACGATATCAGTTGAGATTATTCTTCTCGTGAATTTTATACTAGTCTTAGGGATACTGAAGTAGGCCTACTGAGGCTACTGTTAGACTTCCAGCAAGGCCCGGAGGTTGGGCAAGGACTGACTGAATTTTAATCACAGAAGCTACAGATTATAGTTCAGAACTAATAAATTTTAAAGTTAAACAACCCAAATCAGTTCCAAAGTTCCTTTTTAAATGTTTGCAAGTCAATAATAACTATTTTGCCTGAGATTTTGTACTTGGTTTTAGCAGTGGTCCCAGTTTCTTATATAAATGACCTAAAATTACTAAAATTGCTTTCAGAGGTTTAATTGCAAAACTTTAGCAAACTATACATTTTCTGAAAGATAAATGAATTGGCTACAACTACAACATTTAGATTTGCGTTTTAAGTGTATCTATAAAACTTAATGATGTTATGAGCACTTGAAAGCAAGACATTTTGTTGATTTTTTTTTTTTTTTTGAGAACTCCAAGGTCAAGGACACTGATCAAATTTTTTTTACGGGGTGGGGAATATGGCCAACTTTATCCCCATCCATTTGCTTTTCTAAAAATATATACTTTTAGGGGTCTTGTATCAATATTTCTATGTCATTTATCGCAATTTCAAATGGCACTCAAAACCCTCTGAAAAGCTCCACACCACAGAATGATGCATGCCACAGTTCGTGGGTTAAAAAAAGAGCATCATACATTTTTTTTAGTTGTTAAGAATATTTATAGCTTCATGTAACTGAAATGCATTTGCTTTTTTCTGAGGTCATTCTCTGCAGGATATATACACATTTTAGTAAATTTATGCATTGTGTGTTTTCTTTTCAATAGGGCCCCTGAAATAGTCCAGAGGTCAGGTCATGGTAAAGCTGTTGATTGGTGGAGTCTTGGTGCCCTTATGTATGACATGCTCACAGGACAGGTATGTGTGGCTCTGGCAGGAGGCTGAACTTCCTTTTTATCTAATACTTCATTTATATCCCATGCGTGGATTTAATCATACAGATGGATATTATCAGTAAAGGATATTTATCAAGTATATATATATATATATATATATATATATATATATATATATATATATATATAANTATATATATTGTAATAACATTAATACACAGGCATTAATTAGTATTATTTTTAAACCATGAAATTATGTATTGAAACATATTTATATATTGTTCATTTTGCCCCTAGCCACCTTTCTCGGGAGAAAATCGGAAGAAAACGATTGACAAAGTAGGTTATAAGTTGATGCATGAATGTCATGCTTTGTTTGTTTTTGTTTTTTTTTTTACTTAAATTGGATTTGATTTTTATGCGTTTGGACAAAAACTGTGATTTTGGAATAGTATTTTAGGCACTGGAGTAGGGACCATATCATATTCCTTTTCTGTAGCTTACATTTTAAAATATTTTATTTTAATTGTTTACAATGTTATTATAAGTGTTTAACTACATTACATAAAGTAACTCTTTATCTATCAGTGGTGTTTCTGAAATCCTTAGTGTAATGACTTTACAGCATCAGTTCTGAATAAGTGTGGGGCAATAGAATCTGATTTCTGGTGAGGGTAGTGGAACCTACATTCTGAGTATGCCTAAATGAATAGTTCAGATACGCCAGGGGGGTGTCACAGCGGTTTGGATTGTTAGAAGGTAGGGTAGTGACTTATCATGTTGGGGACACCCGAGCTGTACTTGAACCACCTTCTTAACTGAACTGTGATAAATATTTTATGAACTTGTGGATGCTAGTATTTAATTATGTAGCATTATACTGTAATTAATGATTAATGTTGTTAACTAGCATTACTAATGACTAGGTATTGAATCATTATTTGAATTACCATTATTGGTTTTCAATACCATATTAATAAACCTAGTCTGGGGTTAGTAATGAATAAACCCCCATTGGCTAATGTTTCATGATTTTTAAAATTAATTTCAGATCTTGAGGGCCAAGCTCAGTCTTCCACCCTATTTAACAAATGAAGCCCGTGGCCTTTTGAAGAAGGTGAATACCTTGATAAATTTTATTGTATTTTACATTGTAGATTAGATCAAGGGTGGTCATATACCATATCAGGAAATTTAATTGAACGGAAGTTAGCTCAACATGTAATTTGTTAAGTATTTATTCACATATTCATTTTTTTAAAAAAAATTTTAAGGGATGTTACGAAATGGGGGAAATATAAACTTGTATATAAATTCCCCCCTCCCCCATTTCATTTTTGAACAAACAGCGGTTTGAACTATTTCTTTCGTACAAATTTCTGGAAACCCTCTGGTTGTCCAATTATCAAATCTATTTATATGAATGAAAGAAAAAAAAATTGATGGTATCTGAGAAAAATGTTTACTCCCAAATTAGATCAAATAAGATCATTTTATTATTGAACTATGGTAAATATTGGTATCCTACAGATTATATTCTCTTATATTACCTTTGTTTAAAAAAAAGAGATGCAGGTTTTTAATTATTTATTAACACAATAAATCCCTAGTGGTTGGAAGAAAAATAATCATTAGCCAAGAGTTGCTAGTTAGTAGAGGGACTATTGTACGATACGAAATTTATTTAAACACTGCATGAATTGTCATTCCTGTTGCCTACAGCTGTTGAAGAAAAATCCATCAGAGCGTCTTGGTAGTGGCCCTGATGATGCTGTGCCTATTAAGGTAAGCCGGATTCATTGTTACTGCCAGTTGTTAACTTGCTGGCTAAAGCTGTTAACAATAGGTACCGGGTACTGCCTTTTAAACATGGCTCCTGTCATCAAGTTTTTTGTTTTTGTTTTTTTTTATCTTGTGTCAACTCCTTTGAAGAATCAAATTTTGTTAGCATTAGTTTACTTTTGGTAGTTCCTTCACAGATAAAGTTTCAAATAATTTTAATTTTCTTCCTACCAGAGTCATGCCTTCTTTAGGCACACAAATTGGAATGATCTGCTGAGCAAGAGGATAGAACCTCCCATTAAGATAGGAGTGGTATGTATGATAATCACTTATTTTTATATTATTTCACAGAAACTTAGTGCTGAGAGCCCTGATCTTGTATAATTAAATCTTGCTGTGCATGATTTAAAAAAAAAAAAAAAAAATTTAATCAATCACATATAATCTGTTTGCTGGATCCTTAAAAAGAAAGCAAAAGATTAAATATTCAAATCACTCAAAACATTAAATCATTTATAATTTAAGAAAATGGCATGGATTGCTCATATTCACCAGAGGTCGTGTTTTTGTGTGTTAAAAGCAACAAGGGAATGTGTGTCTATAGCCACAATGTATTGTGTATTTATAGCCACAATGTATTGTAAGTTTATAGTATAGCAACCAGGGATTGTTTATTTATATCGACAAGGGACTGTGAATTCATAGCAACAAGGGATTGTGTATTTATAGCAATGAGACCTTAAATTGAACTGTTGCTAATACTGCTTTTATTAGCATTATTACCTGTAACAGGGTACTTGAGGCATTGTTTTTGTACTCCTCCACAGACCAGTGCATACGACGTCAGCCTTTTCGACACCAAATTCACCAAACAAACTCCATGCGACTCCCCCGTAGATATGTCCGTCTTCAGTCCCAGTATAAATATATTTGAGGTGAGTTTTAAATGACGCTTTACTTGCTCCATTCCTCGAAAGACGTACACATTACAAATCGGATAAACAAAAATTGTTAAGTTAATAAGCCGGACCTGATGGCAATGCTAATGGTCTCTTTCATATTGTTCCCAGGGGTTCACGTATGTTGCTCCATCTGTTCTTGCTGATATGGCGACCCAGCCATGGATCTCTGAAAGAGGTCCTAGGTCACCTCGTAAAAGCTACAAGGGAGAAAGGTTTGTTCAAGATTATTATGTTGCATTTAATTTTTTTTTCAAAGACTTCAAATGGTATTTAAAATTAAATTTGTTTTGGACTAAATTACTGTGGTTTTCAACCTTCCTGATGTCTGTACCCTTAAATACAGTTCCTCGTGTTGGGGTAACCCCCAACCATAAAATTATTTTTTGTTGTTACTTCATAAATATATGTTTTCCGATGTTCTTAGCCGACCATTGTGTAATGGTAGTTCAACCCCCCTAAGGGATCGCGACCCACAGGTTGAGAACTGCTGGACTAAAGTATTAGGTTATTGCATTGTGATCTGCTGCTGTCAATGTAAAAAGCTAAAATTGGTGCAGCTATTCCAAGAATATTGTTTAAATTAAGTACATTTAACTGTTGCCAATGTTGTTGGTATTGTATTTGTTGGCGTATACACATAAAGATGTAAACTCCTAATTTTTAGCCTGCATATTTTTGGTGTAGTTTGAAGGGGAAAAATTGCACTGTATTTAAAAGAATGCTAAATGTGTCCTGTTTACTTTACCAAATTGCCTGACTTCACTAATTTCAGCTACATGTTGAATAATGGACTGGAAGGATTCTACCAGGCTAATGCAGCTGCTGCCCATGATATCGCAGCACAGAGAGGCCGAGGAGCTCAGCCCTGCCATGCACCCACAACAGTTGTGGCCTCATCGCGCGCAGTCAACGGCTACGACATGGAGGACATGGACACCACAGGTGGCGCCCCGGCCGCGACGTCCGCCATACCCACACAACACCACAGGTCTAACGCTACTACTTCTGCTATTTTACCCATTGCCAACCCCCAAAGACAGCAACAAAGGCGCCGAGCCTATCCAGGAACACAAAACCGTCCCTCACACTTACAGCGCCTTGTATGATAATGTAGCTTTAGGAATTTTAAGAATTTTTTTTTTCTCTTGTAAATTCCCTTTTTGTCAAATATATCAATATTTAATTTCTATTGGATGCCACTTCGCATGTTTATATGACTTAGATACAGATTATATTTATATTGGTTTCATTCCTTAGCCTAAAGATTTCATTTGATAAGGCTTGTAGCTAATACAGAGCTTTTCGTTGATTTGGGCCAAATATTTCTTGCCAAGGTCAAAATATCTCCATTTTTACATTTTAAAAAAAAAGAAAAATTCTGAATTGTAAAAGTAATGTTCGCATCTCTTCCTTTGTGATCCATCAATGTGAAGGATATTCATCTGAATATTTCTGCCATGCAATCTTGTCTATTTCTATAAAAAAAACATTTGTGTTGTTTTTCTTTGCCCCATGTCGGCCAGTAATGCCTTCCATCGCATTAATAACTCTGTGAGTTAAAGTCAACTGGAGCTGGTGTTGAATCATGTTCGAAGATGAAGGGATTAATTTCTGCGGAAGAGTACACACCCAGGAGACTCTGCTCAATCTGGCATCCTAACATCGGAGTGCACGGCGGCACAGCCGGACGCTGCACACGGCGCACATCAATCTCGCAGCAGGGTGAGACTGCCATTTCTGAAGCTGGCCGCTGGACTGCTACTTTGGCTATATGACAAAGTGCAGGCTGTCCTCTCGCTCATGTCAAGTAACAAAAAGTTCTCTTGAACCACTTGGTGTTTTGCTCATGCAAATCGGGGGGTGGGGGTGTGGTTGAAGAAACTTAAAATGAGAAACTGTGAAAAGTAACCCCCATCCCACCAGATAGAGTCAATGAGACAGATAGGAACAGCTAATGTTGCTATGTACAGGGTATTTGGGGGGGGGGGGGGTGGTATTGCCCACACTTGGCATTGTCTTTCATTTGGACATTTTTTACCAATAGTGTGATTAATAATTAAATAGTCTTTTTTTACAAATCTCATCAAATCGTAGAGCTAATGGCTATTTCTGGTTTTGTTCCCACCGCTTCAGTCATTTCAAAAGCTGTTTTACTCAGCCAGTGCAGCTGCTTGCAGAAACCAGTTTAGTTGATCGCTGTCTGGGGTTTTTAAAATTGTATTGAAAATCAGCTCGCCAGTATGACCTTTTTTCATTTGACGACCGCACACCCCCCCCCCCACCACACACACACACACTTTTTTTTCCCCACCTAATGAAAGGTCTATAAGATTTATAGATCATTAATAGTTTCTTGTGTTTGTTTTTTTTTGTTTTTTTAATGTTTCCATGGCCACCAGATGCCTCTACCGTAAAATCTTTTTATGTGAAGAGTTCGATTAGGCATCCTCATCTCCTCTTGTCGATAAAACCCATCACATTAATTTCTGTGTTGTCCAATTGCTTCTGCTTGCTGCACTCGGTTATCTGTTCATGCCTCTACTCCCTATAGTTTTATTGATGCAATGTATTGGAAAGAGAAAGCTGGCATTTAAACACAATGAAGATTATTGAATGTTAGAATAATGAGATTTTTAAAATTTTCTAATGCTCGTTAAGTTAGATAAATATTGTTATCCACAAATTTTTTTTGAAAGAAGAATCACAGTTACATTCATTTGAACCATCCTCCGGTATCAACTTTTGTCATCCCAGTGGTCCCATAGGTGTCATATCCTGATCATACCAAAGGTGTCTTATCCCAGTCACCTCAAATGTTTCTTTGCCCAGTCATACCAAAGGTGTCCATTCCACTTGAGTTTAGTTTATTTTGAGCCAACAAATTCTGTTCCGACAAATAAAATTTCAGAGATATATTCTAAATGCAGCTCTGCAGCAATCAGTACCAGTTGGGCAGCACAAAAAGTGACGACACCCCCCCCCCCCCCCCCCACACCCCCCGAACAAATACTTCAAACCCTGATCATTAAGTCTGCCCTTGTGTATATGCTTTTGCTGTGAAATTTTTTGTTGACAGCATGCTTACCTGGTGCAGTTCCAGCTGTTTTTGATTAGCATGGTGTGTGTGTAAATTGTCTACCATTATGTTTTTTCATCAACTTTAATATTTTGCCGCTACCATTTTTTTCCTTCATGATGATTGCAAGTATTCTCTCTCTCCCTCCCGCCCCCATTCCTCAAAGCAATATGATCATTTGGTCATTGTAAGTAGCAGGCTTTAAGTCACTGTCAGTCCATCAGAGTCCTCATACCTCGATCCCCACTTTATGTTCATCTGAACTTTGCTATTTAAATTATTAAATACGTTTAACGTCTGATCCATGACACTTGCAGAAAAGCTATGTGTAGCCATCGTACACCAGACACATCTTATCTATTGCACTAGCAGAAAACAAGAAAAAGTATGTAGCTCTCAGACACATTTGCTCTTTGGTACCATACAGAATGTATGGATAAATTTATCTGTTGTTAAGGATTATAATCAGACCACCATCAGGTTTATGGCACCGGTTGTTTGCCTGAAACAAATGTATCCATAATACATGGACACATTAGTGCTACGGCAGTAGACAGAGTGGGTTGATAAATTTACTTGTCATACATGGACATATCAGATCTTCGGCTCTAGACAGACATGCATTCATTTATATTTACACACAGGAACACATCTTAGGACAGAACCAAATTTTTTGACAAGTTCAATCAGATCATCATTTTTACAAGGGACGCCTTTGACACATCCAGCATTTTGTGAAAATTTTATCATAAACCTGTCATCAAATTTATTTGTATAAATATTCTTTCCTCTATCCACGTCCCAAATCCTTTTTTTTTCTTTCATATCATTTTCTTTTATAACAGACGCTCCTGTACCATTGATTAACACAAATGTGATGGGGGAACAAATGTAAAAAAAATACATTGCCTTGGTAATGAATTAATTATTTTAACTCCACCTTATAGCTAGTATGTATGTGTTGTATGTATGGGAGATGAGTAGCCTATTTTTTTGTTTTTTTTGTGTTTTTTTTGCCTAGTTGCTCAGTGTGTATACAACTCTATTTAACAGTGTGCACCATTGCTTTTTTTAACCTTCACAGCTGCATGCGACTGGTTTAGTTTTGTTTACTTTTAAGCTTATTTAACCCTTTGTTTATGATTTACAGAAATGGTTTACCATCATGTCTGAATTTGTTGGGTGGTTTTTTTTTTTTAGAGGGTGGGTGGGTGTAAACACCCGAACACAGCATCAGGAGACATGAAAAAATTAAGTTAAAATTGCAGAGAATAAGTTAAAAAAAATAACAGGATATATAGAAGTAGCTTCGGCTGTATCAATAATTAACAGTGATATTGAATTTCCCCTCATAATGAAATTACAAACTAGGGGATTTCTTGATTTTTGTGAAGTGTATTTATTTTTATTTACTTGGGGTTTTCTGGGGTTTAAAATAACATTGAGAAAGAAGCTCGCACTACAAATTAGTTGGAGCCATTGTTTTTAATATAAAATTAAGATAAATTTCAAAATACCTTACTTGATCAGTCTTCATCACTACATGCACTGCTGCTGCCTGCTTTGAAAGTGTACCTCCCCCGGTCCGCCTTCTTTGCACATAGCTCATTTCATTTTATGTAACCTATATCTGCTCTGATTGGTTTAAAGTAAAGAGTTATCAATGCCAGGGTAATTTTTTGGCATTTATGGTTGGGAGGGGCATTTGCACATAGCTTACAAGGAAGAAATTCATGCTTCCTTTTTAAAAAAATAATTTTTTAAAAATCTTATTAAAGACTAATGAGCCAATTATTTATTTATAGCTTACTAGTAATGCGTTACACTATTGCATTTAATAATAAACCCTAAAAATTTTTATCTGAAATGAAAGTAACGAAAGACTAACACTGTTAAGAGTTGATTTGATTTTATGGTCCAGTATTTTAAAAGAGCCAGTAAACCTGGCATGCTTACAGTTTAAAACCTGGCATGTTTACAGGTTACAAATTTTACGGTAAAGTGCACTTTCCCCTTATTAGTCAGTACATTTTTTCTTTTTTTTCCATTGTCGTATACTGGAGCAAACTGTTATCACTTTGACACTGTTTGCTGGGGGTTGCCCAGCTTGTAAACAAGTATGGTTTGACCTGCACATTAAAATTTCTCATCTTGCGCCTGGTCAGATACTGCTTGACACTTTGTCCGCCTTGACAGTGAGGCTTGTATTTTCATCTCATTTAAGTCAAACATCCCGCTGTCGGGGCCATCCTATACAACTTGTATCAACTCTCCATTCCAACTTGACCAACACATTTATTTATTTTTTTTCCTTATCCTCACAGCATAAACTTACTATCAATGTAAACTCACTCAATGCAAATAACTTTCTACATTATGTATATCTGAAAAACTTACTGCTATTTCTAACTTCTGACCAATGTAAGCTTTAAATAAAGTAACAGTAAGTTGTAAACATTAAATGATTATTTTATTCTGAAAGTTCTGCTAATTATAGAAAATTACTTGGGATTATGTGAAGTTTTAATTAATTAATTATCTCATCATTTCTTTTAACTAATTAAGTTTTGATTATTCTTTATAAATAGTCAATAATTATTCTCAATCGTGAGTGTTGTGCTCCTTCATAAATGTATGCAAAGGTGAAATCAAAATGTTAAATGCTGGCAGCTTACACTAGTAACACTAGCTTGGGTAAACGGATCATCACTTATGGTTTAGGTCTTCAGATGAACTAAATCTATTAACCGCATTACATGTGTAAATTGCTCTTTAATGAGTTTTAAACATTATCATTTTCAAAAAAAAATATTTCTAGATAAAATATTTTGTGGGGATCAGGGTAAAATCAGTTCGCAGCAGTAAGAAATATCTACTCAAAATAAGTTTACCTAAAATATAGTTGGCCATTCATCAGGAGGTTGTTGTTTTTTTTATTTATTTCAATAGATTAAAAAGTTCACATAGGTTTAAAAAAGCTACCAAAAATGCACTTGGGCATGGCGAGTAGAGCATAGTTGCTGGTGTTGGTCTTCCATTCAACTTTTTTTGTGATCTCACAGTTGTAAACAAAGCTGACTTATCATGTTGATATAAACTATTTCCCACTTATTTTCTTTTATCAATTTTTTTTTTTTTTTAAATTTTATAATACTGTTTTGCTCTTTATTGAATCACTTTTTCCATCACATCAGTGGTTCTCAATTTGTTTTCTCCTAGTTTACTGAAACTGGTATGGCAATTCTAATTGACCAAGATATTCTCACTAGGCTGAAACCTATCACACACTGCTACCTCCTCTGAGAAGACTGGCTTTAGGAACTGATTCTCAGACATTTGTGTGGTTTAGTGGATGTTTCGGTGTGTACATGAACACTCAGGGGCTTCCAGTGGAGGGACAAATGGAATCGTACTCATATATAGTCAGGGGCTTCCAACGGAAGGGAGGGTAGTATATTTGTACTCATGTGCTTTCAAGGGAGGGTAGTATATGTGGGCTCATGAATTGAAGGGGGGGGGGTGTTTTCCATGTGAACTATGTGTGCACTAAATGAACACTCGGGGGGCTTCCAAGGGAGGGTAGTGTGTGTACTCATCAGCACCCCGTGGCTCCCAAAGGAAGGGTAGGGCATCTAAGGGAGGCAAGTGAATAATTTAAACTTTTCTCTCATGAAGACATAATATTATTACTCATGTTCGATTACTAAAGCTAAAAACAATCTTTCTCGTCAGTGATGTAATGGAATCATGCATGTGTCTGTACTCTGTGTGCTCCCTGGCTGACTTTCTAACATAGTAACTTGGTACCAAGGTGCAATTGCTCTAAGAACCTGCTTGAATTCAATGGAAGCATAAATTCACTTGGGGCTGATTATGGTTGTTAACCCAAAAAAAACTGAGCACTCTTTGCGCTATCCCATTTATAAAATGCTCAGAGCTGTTCATGGGATTCCTTTGGAAACTCTCCCACATAAGTATGAAAATTTGCATGTTAATTTAATTTAAGTTTGAATGTTACAAGTGCAGCTTTTAAGTGACTTTATTTCGCCATCACAAACCGATGTTTCTGATTTGAAACAGGAGAACACATTTCATTACTGCCGTCTTGAAATGTGTGGTTGAACCAGGCGAGAAATATAAAAAGTAGATTGATTGAAAGATGATGACCTGTGTTGTCAGCATAATCTCTTGCAAACCGATTTCTTGGCTTTCGGTTGCCTACCTTATATTTACTGCTCATCACGAACCGCATTTTAATCTGCCTGGGACTTATCTATAAGTTACTCTCTTCCCCACCCCCCTTTTTCCCAATGTGTTTGGCAATACCAAAGATAAACCATTTAACAGTTTTCCCATACATTTTTTTGTTTGTTTGGTCTGACTACACTTTATGGTAAAACTTCTCTCTTAACATTTCAAAAACTACTGCATTTTATCTGTGTCTCTGGCAACTGAAGAATCTTTAGGGATACCATATGTTAATTTGGCATTGATCTGAATGGACCCAAAAAAAAATAATATAAATAATACTAAGATGGGTTTCTCAAAAAAAAACTTTTGGGGGGGGGGGGGGTATTTATTTAGTGGTCAAAAAAATTCTGGTGGGTGAAAAGGGTCATCAAGAGTTGAAGCTGATCATTATTTGGTTCAGAAAAATTTGGAGAAATTTATTACATAACTGAAAAAATTTCAAATTTTAAGGCCCATTTTAAAGAGCTGTCCATTATCTAGTCATCTAATAGCACCACATCATCCTCTTTAACATTTCTTCCAAAGCCTGGACACAGAGCTAAAAATCCTAAAGGCATAACATGCCTCATGTCTATAAAGAGTTCCCACTTTGAAAATGTTTGCCCCTTAACTACTTAAGGTCAAAACCAGAACTCGGCCAGTTGTCCCTGGCCAGTAACACAGCATTCATAAGGTCTTATTTAAATACGTCTGAGCAAATCTGACCCTTGAACTTGGGGGACGGTTGTCTCTCGCCCACTCAGGTAAAGCCGTATAAGGGTTACCCAAACCTTTGTGATGAGCTCATTCATAATTGTAAATAACTGGTATGATTTTCTTTTTTTCTTTTCAAAGTTATAGTAATATTGTGCTTGGAACATCTATTTTTATTTGAGTTTTCCAAGAAAGTGAATGATGTTTCTATGGTTGCATGATTATGGTTGTACGTTACTTTCGCTGCCAAAAGTCGGCTCCTTGTTTTAAAAAAATAATTAGATATTTATACATATTTTTTTTTTCTTTTTAACTGTTTATATATTGAAATGTAATGATCATAATACTGCTACTACCTGTTATTTATTGATGTCACTCATGTATTGTACCCCAAATTTCAGAATTTTGTGCTTAATTCAGTTTCTTTGTTTCCCCATAAAATCCTCTTCCTTTTTAAAAAAAATTAATTGGATTTTTATTTTACAAGATATCAGATGCATCATTTTCAGTCTATTTTTAGACTAAAAGAATATATTTTGTTCCTTAGTAATTTAATTTCCCCATTTTGAAGAATTTACTAAATAGCCTGTTGATGGCCTAAGAGTTAAAACAACAGTAATTGCTGATTTCCCCTTCACACATTTTTATTGTTTCTGGGTTCTATGACTAAAATGTTATGTATTTTATTTCTTTTTTTTTTATTTTCCAACTCAAATGCAACTACAAATGCAATATGTTTATGTAATGGGTACACACCCTGGTGTGCAAATGTTGCAAAGTATTGTGACTTGGTGTACTGGGGGTGGGACCAAATGTATCTATATATTTTGTCCCACTGAATGGATGAAGTATAAACAAATAGGAGGTGGGGAGGCAACTTTTTTTTCTCTTGATATTGCTATACATAAAAAGCTTTCTAAAGTTGGATATTTTATTTTTAGAATTCATCTTTTGAAAGAAATGACCTTATCTTTGACATCCAGATGGCATGTTTGAAGCATGCTCAAATTTGTAATGTGGGATATATAGAACACCAGCATGTTAAAAAAAAATTTAGAAATTTTTTTTTATAAAAAAATAATTATAAGACAACAGCAAAAAAAAAAAAAAAAAAAAAAAAAAAAGGAAAATAAAAACAAAAAAAAAAAAAAAAAATAAAAAACAACAAAATTAAAAAAAAAAATAAAAAAATTTTTTTAAAAAAAAAAAAAAAAAAAAAAAAAAAAAAAAAAAAAAAAAAAAAAGGAAAGGAAATTAAAAACATGAAAGATCCAACTAATATCTTTGGATTGTTCTGTGTATTTATTTTGTGTGTGCATGTCATTGTGGCATTTATTTATTTATTTTTTTCATTGCCTCTCACAATATCAAGAACAATTTTCACCACTCTTTTTTTTATCCCCCACCCATTAATTTTTGCTGTGCAATTTTACTGGAATTTAATTAGAAGCCTTTTTAGTAACAAGTCATGAGATGAATTGACAGTGTTAGTTAAATCTGTGATTAGGCTGGACCAACATCTTAAAATTAAAAATAGGTTTTCAGGGTTGTTTAATCAGTAATTATGTTAGAGAACATGTTAGGATTAAAAATAGGTTGGAAGGGTTAGTTAATCTGTAATTTAGGCTTGAGAACATGTTAGATACTGAAAATAGTTTGGCAGGGTTAGTTAATCTGTAATTTAGGCTCCAGAACATGTTAGATACTGAAAATAGGTTGGCAGGGTTAGTTAATCTGTAATTAGGCTAGAGAACATGTTAAATATTAAAAATAGGTTGGCAGGGTTGGTAGTTAATTAAAAGTTTGTAGTTGTTTGTAAATGTGTGAATAGGTCAGCAGTGTTTGTTTAGTTTGTGTGTCTCCACTAGGACTGTTAAAAGCTAGATCACAATTGTGTTTTGGTTTATTTAAATACTTGGAATATTGGCATATTTTTTTTAATATGGTGTCATCCAATTAACTGGTCGCCCATTAACTAGGTCCAAGTTTATTACTCTACTGCCCCCGGGATATATATCTTTATATCTTAGCAGAGAAACTGAAATTAACCAAATATTCATGATTTTCAAATATTTGTTGTGCTTGTTGTAAATAAACTCCTTTACCAAAGAAATGACATGTCCCCAAACTTAAGAAAAACTTAGCCCCCTTTCCCCCCCCCCCCCCCCCCATTTTTTTTTTTTTTGTTTGTTGTTTTTTTTGGGGTTTTTTTTGGTTTTTTTTTTTTTTTTTTCAATTCAGCGAATGAAGTATTATATATATTTTTTTTAAAGTGCATGAAATATACGGACTATATGTAAAATGAATGAAGTATACGGAATGTATTTTAATTGAATGAAGAATACAGTATACATATTTAAATTGAATGAAATATGCTGTATATATTTAAAATGAAAGAAGTATACATAATATACTCAAAAGAACATAATTTTACAGCTTATTTTAACGTTGNTTTTTTTTTTTTCTTCTTGCTTCTCATACCACTGAG